CTTGCTTCTTTTTGTTGATCAGGACTCAAATCAAATGCTAATTCCTGAAACTGACCTTTAGGGACAACCCCACATACTAAAATCCCTATCACAACCATTTTTCTCCCCTCTTGTGTTCTATTTGTATTTATTTATTTATTTATTTATTTATTTATTTATTTATTTATTTTTTCAAGACAAGTTTTCTCTGTGGCTTTGGAGGCTGTCCTGGAACTAGCTCTGGTAGACCAGGCTGGTTTCAAACTCACAGAGATCCTTCTGCCTCTGCCTCCAGAGTGCTAGGACTGAAGGCATGCACCACCACTGCCCGGCAACACAAACATTTTAAATGTGTCATATTGTTATTCTCATATATAAAGTACAAATCACCAGATTATTCTGCAATAATCCAAGTATAATTTGAGTTATGAATAGAGGAAGATGCATGCAATATTTTGTTTCTTTCATTTTTTTCTTTTGATGAAGTTCTGGAAATGAAAGCCATTACCAACAGAGCTGTTTTTATTTCCTACCTGTGGCCAGTGAAAACTACCAATTATTTCTAATCACTTTAATGAGGAAGTACTGTTCTCTCATAACTTGTTGTATAGGTACAATTGTAGAGGATTCAAGAATATAGTAACAATTTTTCTTATTAATCTCTGATATACATACTGAAATATGGAAAGTTTATTCTATTAAAGCACAAATAACATAAGGAATTTCTCCAATTACTGATTTTCTCTACTTGCTGACAGTTTCCCCATTTAATACAATACTCCAGGACCCCTGCTTGTCTTCTCAGTGCAAGAACACGGTGCCCACAAAAGAGGACAGAGTGCGAATATGTAAGTGAAGGAATTGATGCATATTTGACACACCACATAAGACACTGGTATTTAAATGAACAGCGAGAGACCATGTAAGGGAATTAAGCAGTCTGTGGCACAATATCCTAGAAGACAGAATTTCAAACCCCAAAAGCAATACGTTTTAAGCAGGGACAGCCATCAGAAAGAAGTGAAAGTGCCCCACCTCACTTCCTGGGTTTGATTCATCTGTCTATCATGGACTCTGATTTCTACCATTTTCATAAGCACGACCTGCAGATG